GGGGGGGGGGCCCCCCCCCCCCCACTCAAGGATGCATTAACCACTGCCAGTACCTATCCGCTTGTCACCTTCCAAGAGGCCTTTACCAGGCAGGCAGGGCACAGATCTAAAATGCAGGTGGCCAAACTCACATTCCCTAGGATCCTGTCCACTTCCTCAGGAGTAACAGGGTCAAACCATTCCCAGATAACTGGGCAAGAACCTACCCCAGGCATCTTCACTGGGCCAGTGACTTTATCAGAAAATCAGCAAATTCCTCAGTGTGCCCCTGCAGGTAAACCTCTGAGTCCTCCTTATCCAGGAGGAATCACGTCATCTTAAAGAGGGCCGCTGGCAATTTTCTGCTGATGCAATTAGTGTGGAGAAGTATTTCTGCTTCACCACATGAATTGCCATGAGGTAGGCTTTAATAGCAGCTCTTACTCGTGTTCAGTTGAGTTTGTTCTTTGTCTTCTGCCAGCGATACTCTAGACGTCTCTTGATCTGTTTCATCCCTCTGTTCCTCCATATATCACGGGGCCCGGCAAGCTCCACGGGTTGGGAGAGATTGCTTGGGTGCAATCCTGTCTAGAGCCTCAGTTGCCTCCCTATTCCAGGAGGTTACTAGAGTCTCAGCAGAACTACACAGCTGATCCTCAGTTATAACCCAGCTCCCTAATAGGTCCTGCCTCCCTGCGGAGGGGAGCAGCTCTAGAGAAGCCCATAGCCACTAGGTTGTGATCTGACCATGACAAGGGAATCAAAGATAGGTCCACCAATGCCATATCACAAAGGCACTGTTCTGACAAGAACACCAAATTGGGTACATGACCACTATTTCTAGTTAGGCCCTGGATGACTTGGGACAGGCCCATGAAGTAATGGTTTCCATGAACTTCCAAGCTTACTCTGACCCCACTCCCAGGGAGGTCAGATTGAAGTCCTCAGAACCATAAGCCTGGGAAATTCCACTGCCAACCCCCGTAGTGGGGTCTAGAAGCACGGGCAGGGAGGCTGCTGCAGTAGCAGCAATCCCAACCGATCCCAAGAGACCAATCTCAGAAAAGGGTCTCATGACCGGGCACTTGTGGAGTGACACCCCTGGCAGCCACCAGAGATTCTCTAATAATAACAACCACTCCACCTCCCCTGCCCTGCCCTGCCCTGCAGTCTTGGCTGGTGCAACACTTGATATCTGAACTCCTCCCTCTGGCCCCAACCAAGTCTCGGTGACACATGCCAGATCAGCCTTCTCCACAATGATTGGTTGGCAATAAGGGAGCCCGATCTGGCATTTTAAAAACAAAAGCCTAAAACCCGGGCCGCTGTTGATAGTAATGTTTTAATTACTAGTAATGTTTTAGTTACTAGTGTTTTAATATATGAGAGTTGGCTATAAATATTGTAGAGAGAGAGAGAAAAAAAAAATATTGCAATATAGTTCTCCTTGAAGTCAAAGCACAGTCACTAAGGATGTAAGTCACACTTATATCCTTACAACCTGTCTTCAGAAAAGAGTTTAATGAACAGGACAAGCAAAAGACTGATCTCCCTTCTATCACGATACCTGATCGATGAGTTTCTTCAGAGCGAGCAGTCTCCCATGAATGGATGCTTCATGTAAAGGAGACCAGTCAGAAACAAAATCTGCATGAAGATGGAAAAAAAAAAAGTTTGGGAAAGAAGGATGTAATTAAATTAGTTTATCTCTATACTTGAATTTGGATAATAGCTTAATGAAGCTCCCAATGCCTAAAGGGATTTTTTAAGATTATATGTATCTATGGGTTTCAATGTGATTAAACGCCTCATACTGTTTCAATGAATAAAGGCAATTATGTTTTATTGCCTGACAGGTCATTCTTATCTCAAGCCAATGTCACTCAAGAAAAGGCCCAAAATATCACACTTAGCGAAACAGATGAAAGTCAGTCATTACATTGACCTGCTGCCATCTCCATGCCTTTTGCTACGCTGCTCATTTTGTTTGGTTGTCTGATGTGGGAAAAACAATTCACAAAAAAGGCACGGCTTACTGCCTCCAGCAAAACTGAAAGAACTTAAAAGGCCTTAACTACGGCAGATTTCATGCATGGCCTTGATGTGGGCGTTATGTACATAACAGAAGGAAGGAATGAGCCTCAAAGTCTGCTCCTTAATATCACATCAAGAATCCTGAATGTGAACTGGATCCAAGGCATATCATTTTTAATGAGTAGGCCCTATTCACACATTCTGCCCCACACATAAAACATGGGCAGGGAGGTGGAGTGGGAGTAATCAAGCATTCTGCCACCAAATTTATTTATATCGGTCACGGCTCTGATCCCACAACATCATGTCTTATATTTATATTCCAGCTTTCTTTCCATTCTTAGATCCAATGTACTAGATCCATGACCTATGCTTCCTGTGTCCACTTATATCATAAAATACCTAATTGTGATTTTCCTCCTCCAGTGATACCTGAAGAACTCAAGCAACTTCACTATTTCTCTCTTGTTGCCTTGTATGGTTAAACTGCTCACCAGACAACTTGAATAATACCATCTCTCCTCCTTCATCTAAATGCTACTTCTAAGGCTGTCTCTTCTACAAGGTCTTAACACAATCCCTGAGTTCCTATGTTGCACAGGAACTCAGCCTACAACTAAGCTTAAGTACCTGCTACATAGGTAATCACACAGTAATTTATTAATCATCTCTACCTTCCTTTTCTTCACCTTTCTCTGTTTCTTTTGTGTCAAAATTTAGAATCTAAGTTCCTTGGTGTATGAGTCTGTAAAATTCTGTGTACCCTTATGGTTCTAAAGTAACAGATGTAGTAGTAGTAGTAGTAACAACGTATCAAAAAGTTATTTCAAATATTTCCAAGAAAATGTCCAGGAGGCGGTAGTGACTAGGTTTCTGCTCAATTTGATGATCATTTTTATCATTGCACTACCTTTGAGACTTTTTTTTCACATTGGTCAGATAATTAACATAGTGCTAAACAAACACAGTTCAGCAATAAGGGCTCACTAGAAATGCAGATCAGCAAAATTGTTGTCCCTCTTATTTACCTGAGAAAGAATTAAAAGAACCTGTCATTCTCTTGTCTCTTTAATCATTTTAAATGTTATTGTACCTTAAGCATGGACTTACTTGGATAGTACAGCCTGATTTTTTAAGGATCAAATGTCCACATTTGTTCTTGTTTTAGTCAGGATGGTTAAGTGAACTAAATGAACTGGTGACCCCATACAGCTCAAAGTTCTTTCAGATTTGTGGCCTTTACAGTTGCAATATTTTTTTATTACTACTACCACTACTACTACTACTATTATTATTGCCAGCTCAGATGCAGTGCTGTTGAGAGAATATTTGCTATCACGGTGATAGATGATTTGATGCCCCACAGACATGTTGGATTTCAATTCCCATCATTCTCAGCTATCATCTAAGCTATAAATACAGGACTGGTCATCAGTGATAGTAGTCAGGTCCAAGCTGCCCCCATTTACTTTTTCTACACAGTCACCCTCCAGACAACAAAGTGCCTAACCATGGATGAGGATTCTGCTCATATGCTGTGTTAGCTAAAGAAGGGAAGTTGCAAACTCAATAGTGCAACTGATTTCACAGAGAAAGGATTTCAAATATAAAATAGATCTGTATGCTTCAGTTAAACTATTCAAAGATTTCAATCATTAAACACAGCTACAAGGCCACTCTTGCTCCTGGCTAAAGTAACAGGCATTGTGCCAACATTACCAGCTCAGTCAAAATAAATGAATCAAATCTCCTTTCTAAAAGGGCACGGAATTTGGGGAAACACCTCTATATTCTGCAGCTATCATTTGCATAAGCAGAAAGATTAAATGCTAATAAAACCCAGGCATGCCTTCCCAACATGTCTCTTGTATAAAGATGCAAAGTCAGCATTTCACTTCTACATCCTAGCTCTAACCCAATAATACCCTGGGCTGATTATATCAGTGTTCCAAATTACAGACTCACCACCAAAATAACAGGAAAAATGCAAGAAAAAAAAGTTGCTTTGAAAGATTTCTCCCCACAGGGCAAAATTTACAAAGCTGATTTCCTTGGGAGTGATCTGTACTGAAAGCATTAAAGAGATATTTTAGCATGCAATTTACTTTTCTTGAAGAAGCAAGAAGCTTGGCCTAAAGAAATTTAAAAAGGCAGGTACTGTCTGTGGGTGTTTAAACTTGTATACAGGTATCCTCACTTAACAACCACAATTGTGACCAGAATCTAGGTCACTAAGTAATGCAGTCATTCAGCAAATCATCACATGACCACACCTGATTTTATGACCTTTTTGTGGCAGTCATTAAGTGAATCACCATGGTCGTTAAGTGAATCACATGGTTTCCCCATTGATTTTGCTTGCCAGAAGCTGGCTGGGAAGGTTGCAAATGGCAACCACATGACCCTGGGATGCTGCAACCATCGTAAGTGTGAGTTGGTTGCCAAACACCTGGATCACAATCACTTGACCACGGTACACTGTGAAGGTTGTAACTTCGGGCACTGGTCGTAAGTCATTTTTTAGCACCACTGTAACTTTGAACGGTTGTAAAACGAATGATCATTAAGCGAGAACTACCTGTTGAGAACTACTGAGCCAAGCATTATGGCAGGGAACTTCCCAAACCTAAAACCTACTGTTTTCCAATCTCTCCTTTTAGTGACAGAGCCTTCTTGGGTACAGTGTATGTACTTAAATTCAATTCCTGTTTACAAGAGATTCCATGTTCAGTTCCTGACACTTCAACTGAAACAGCTGAGTAGTATTGATGAAAAAATATCTGCCAGACACTTTGGAGAAAGCTTCTGTCAAGAGTTAACAGTACTATGCAAGAGCCATTGAATTGACTGAATACTATAAGATAGTGTTGTCACATTTCAAATGCCAGTGAAGGTCCTTTAATGTATATCTGAAATTTCCCTACATCAGAAATTCTCTGTATGAATAAAGTCATCAGAAAAATATACCAAACAGCTAGCTTATAACTCTTCAATATGCTGTTGTTGGCAGAAGTAGGAAGTTTTACATAACTACATGGAGGGAAGCTAAGCTTACAATACTATCTACCTTCATACTGATGTGAAATATTTCCAGGAGGGAAGAAATGCATTCTTGTCCTTATATTTGAGAATTGATTGTATTGGCTGGTCCCCAATCTTTTCTTTTTATGTGAACAATAAAAACATTGTTTTTAGTTTAGTAGCATTCATACTAAAAGCGTAAGCATCATTGGTGGGAATCATACAACACGTGAATCCTCAGATGGTATCCGTAGGATGCCCAAATTAAATAATATATAGTTTAAAATTGATATTTTTTAATGGCTAATACTGTGTTAGATCACCAATTTACCAATTCTGACCATCTTGTAAGAGTTGAACCACATGTATGTATGTATGCATGTATGTATATTCCTTGTATCAGGGGCCATCTCATGAGAACTACTTATCCCCAGACCACAAATTCAGCCTACCATTGTGACTTGCCCACTATGTATAAGAACTGTGTACATGTACAAATCTTACATAGAAATCTTCCTACAATTTTTAGAAATCATGTGGTGGAATAAAAGATGGCAGCAATATGTGAATACTTTTCTTCAACATTTAAAGCTGTAGGGGCTCAGAAAAATCTGGGGGTGGAAAATGGAGCTGTTTTTCTCATTTTTAATTTTTTTTCCTCCACCTCATATATCTACTCTGAACTCCTTATATTTCTCAGAAGTCACAATCTTCCAAGGGGGGGGGGCAAGAAATAGAACCTTTCTGACCACTTAACATAAATAATCTATTTTCCATACAAGTTTCTAGGTCTGTGAAAGTGTCACTGGATTCAGATTTGTCTTTCCTCCCAGTTTTACTTGTTTTGCAACGTGTTTAATATATACCTTTTTGATTTAATATGCATTTGAGATTAGATGATCCAACTTTAAATTCATATAAACACCTAATGTTGAAATGATCTATAGGATATAAGCACAAATAGGAATAGCTACTAAGGTTAACCTATTTTCTGTTCCAGAAAAATCAAGATGTTCCTTGAGAATGTCGAAGCTCTATAGAAAGACCACATAAACTACAGATCACAAACACATACCATTGTAATTACTGCATATGCATGGTGCCTATTTTGGAAAATATTTTTTTTAAGAAGTTTGCAAGCGGAAAGTAAACAGTGAGACATGTTGGGGTGAATGCAAATGCCATTGTTGCTGCAATTCCACTCTTATGCAGAAAGAATGATCCCTAGTTGTAAGAAGCATATTCTATATCACAAACTCCAATTATTATTCAATCATACAGAAACAAGAAGAGGGCCTTAAAGAATATGGTTCAAATCATTATGCCAATTATTTAACTTTCTCATATTTGATGGTGACACAACAAAGCAATGCAGAAGTCAAATAGATAATGCAGTTTACATTTCTAATTCCCCAGACTTTTAAAAAAATTATATTATTTTGTTGCCCACTCTTCTGTGCTTGCTGCATTTGATTTTTATTTAATACTCTCTGGTGGATAAAGCATTTATTCTAAAGGGATAAATACTATTAACTGCCAATGCACAACTTCTCTGGCTTTTTCACTTCTGCTATGAAACTGCAGAAAACAAAGGGATTACTTACCACCCATCAGTGGATTCAGTAGATAACCTGGATGAGTGAGGCTTCCTGAACTTCGAAATAGACTAAGACCGGTATTTTCTTCTTCCACATCCATTGCAATCCTGGGCTACAGTTATTCCACTTCACAGTTGAAATCATGAGAGTTCAAATTCCAACTTGCCTCTTTTAAAACAAACCAACCAATCAACCAAAAAAAAAAAAAATCAAGTTCCATGAGTTATTTATTAAGGGATTTCTGCAGCCACCGTCCCCAGTGACCAAAATACCTAGGCATGTTCAGAATGCACCTCTTCATTGACTGAATAAAAAAGTCCAAGAAGCTTTCAGACACACAGCACAAAGTGAGGAATATGGCTGATGTCATATCCTTTCCAGACCCATATCCAATCAGCATGCCTGCCTTCTGTTTTTATAAGAAAGTAACTTCTCAGTTGCCAACAAAACAAGACAGAAAGAGCTAGTTTAACTCGTTCAGCTGCCTTCAGGGCATTTATAACAGAAAAAGGGGAAAGGAGAGGGAGGGAAAGAGAGAGATTTTAGTACCATCTATTCTGCTTTTATCACAAAGCATACATTATGTTATTTTCAGGCATAGAAGCACTGACATTCAAAAATAACATGAGTACATACAGAAATGGCAAACTCTGTCTGAAGTGGACCCCACTAGACAGTGGATATTAAAGCCACATGTTTGAAAAGCTCAGTTTTCAATGTTATGATTCCTCTGGCAGTTATATTTGGGCTAAAGTCTCGGCATGCCCACCCACTTCCTAGGGGGCAGATCATCTGGAGCTAATGGGAGTTGTAGTACAAACGCATCTGGAGATCGGCAGAGGGGGGAAGGCTATCTTTCATGCAGAAAAAACACCGCATTTAAGCAGACTTCTCAGTTAATTTGCATATTTCATTTTCTGTGCTAATTATGTGTAAAGATAATCCACAAGGAACCAGAGAAATGTCACTAGAACTAAAATATCCATTAACTTGATAATCATAACCTTGCTTAAAGAACAAAAGTTCATGAACTTAGGAAGGGATGAACGGACAAAGTAGACACAAGGATAATTTGCAAGGATGGAAAAGCATGGTAAGGCATAGGGAATGTAAACCGGTTTTAACTATCTCTCTCTCTCTCTCTCTTTTCCTTTCTTATCTCAGGGCTTCACCTTATACAGCTTAATATTTCCAACTTCTTTTTTGCACTCTGTGTAATGTTGCCTATTCCCAAAGGAGATAGTGTGATGGGTCTACATAGATGCACGTAAAAGTTGTCATTCACCCAATCATCGATCCATTCTATTCATTGTGTAATGAGTATTTGTATCTTTTTGCCTAAACAGAAGCAAAAAGTGCTTAGTAGGCTTACTAAGTTGGTGGAGCTTTTTGGAGATATCTTTGGCAATTTCTTAAGCATGACAAGGAAAAAGGTTGCCTACTCGTGACATTAGTCTAAGGCTGACTGAGTATGAGACAAGGCCAAAAAAAATTCAGTGGCTTTTTCTAAAAGAGAAAATACAGACCCATGCGTTGTTTTAATTTCCAGTCCTGTCTTCCACTGCCATGCGGAGACGAAGTGGCTAACAACAAATACAACCATATAATAGCATAACAAAACAAGAAAAGCAATATATGCTAAAGCAGTGTTTCTCAACCTTGGCAGCTTGAAGATGTGTGGACTTCAACTCCCAGAATT